TCTAGTGGCTGTATCACTGACAGCCGCTAGAGGAGCACACTGAACGTCCATAGGAAAGCATGTCGCATTCGGAGCTGAGAGGCTGAGGGATCCCCAGCGCCGGACTCCAGAGTCCGGCGCTGGAGAAAGGTAAGTGCTGAAGGCACACACACACTTACAGACGTATACACACTAGCTAACAGACACACAGTCAGCGACAGACATACATACACACTCACTTACAAAACATACACTCTCATTGACAAACACACACTCACTAACAGACATCAAACAGACTCACTAACACACACTCAGTAAGACACACACAGTAACACACTCACTAGCAGACACTCACACTCACTCTAACACTCACACTAACACTCACTAGCAGACACACACACTAACACTCACTCTAACACTCACACACACACCAACACTCACTAGCAGACACACACACTAACACTCACACACACTAACACTCACTCTAACACTCACTCTAACACTCACTCTAACACTCACACACACTAACACTCACACACACTAACACACACTCTAACACTCACACACACCTAACACTCACTAGCAGACACACACACTAACACTCACTCTAACACTCACTCTAACACTCACACACACTAACACTCACTAGCAGACACACACACTAACACTCACACACACTCAAACACTCACATTATTTTTTAATAATCCCCAGCCTCACCTTTGGAGTGCTGGGATTTGGGGTCCAGTGGTGCTGCTGGGCTCCAGGCAGGCGGGGCAGGGAGCGCAGGGAGCAGGCCCGCCCGCCTCTGCCCGACCGGCCACCCGCCAGCCTCGGGGGGGCCTGGGGTGGCCGGGTCCTGGGCCCCCCAGGGGAAGAGGCTGGCCCTGGGCGTACATACCGGGTCGCAGGGGCTGCCGGGCCCCCTGGTGGGCCGGGCCAGGTCGCAGCCGCGACCCCTGCGACCCTGGTATGTACGCCACTGCATACAATTCAAGGTTTCAATTATCTACCATTTGTAATGCAGAGAATAACCCTGACAGAGTGCATTGTAGCGGTTTATTTTTTTTTTTTTTTAAATGTTGCAGTACAATTAAATAATCATAAAACGCCCCTCAGATCTGCCACATGTGGTGGTGAAGCCAAAGAAAGCAATCTTGTCCATGTAAAGTTAAGTGATGTGTATTAAAAGCTATATCTTCAGATCGGAGACAAGATGTAATTTGGATTACTAATCATTGAGATAAATACAAAATTTAGATTTAAAACAGGGTTAAAGCGCCAACCATCCATCTTTTATGTGAGCCAGGACAGTGTTTATAATTAGTGTTTTTTTAATTAAGAAAAAGTTCTAAAATTCATTCAGAGATAAGTGGTGCAGTATTCAGCGATAAGTCAGGAATTAATTTATTTTTGTCATAAACAGTTGTATATAAAAAAAAAAAATCTATTTTTCAAAATATAAAGCTGAAAAAATTCCGAGCCGCCAAGTGTCAGGGAACTGACTTGCACAAGCTTGGATATGTTTGATTCACTTCTTTGTACCTTTTCCTGGAACCAGAAAAAATTGCCTTTTTTGGGTGGGGGCAAATAAGCAGCTTAGTTTCCCAAGGTGGATAAGAAGTCTACCTGTGTGTGTATATATATATATATATATATATATATATATATATATATATATATATATATATATGTGTGTGTGTGTGTGTGTGTGTGTGTGTGTTTATGTATGTGTGTGTGTATGTGTATATGTTTATGTATATGTGTGTATGTATATGGAGAGAGAGAGAGAGAGAGAGAGAGAAAAATACCGGCACTCCAAGGCTTTCCAAGAAAATATTCTTTATTCCAGAGGATAAGATCAACGTTTCAGCTCCATTCCAGAGCTTTCATCAGGACACTAACAACACTTAAAAAATGAAAGGCTTAAATAGGAAGCTAAATTAGGGTAAGTACTCACATTTAGAGCTGGAGCTCATTCCCTGATCCCGCCCGGTGTGCTCAGGTCACATGTGTGTTCACTTCCGGGTATGGACATGTGATCAGCTACTGCAAAGAGATCGTTCCGATAGGTCAGGCACACCACTTTTCCCGGGTAACCATGGGCACATTACCTCATTGGTTAATCCCCCGTGTACTGGTGCCGATAATGCTCAGTTTGTCATGTCATGACAACCCAAACGCAGCCAGGCAGTTATCTAGGGAAGAGAGCATCATAAAAGACATTAATGAGAGGGAGAAAGACCCAAATTATACTAATTGACACAAAAACAAAACAACAATATTGCATATTAATGTACAGTGAATACTGATATGCTTGAAGTGAAGTGTAAATTCATTATAAGGAACCACTAAATATGAGCTCTTACATGTACATCTCCTAAACAGTGAATTAAGAAATAGTGAAAAAACTTTAAGGTTGCTAACTACTAGCTGTGCATATTATTAAAGTGATTACAGTAAACTGCATTAGCTTCTAACATATATCATATATGTATACGGAAATGTTTTTACAGTGGGCAAGCAAAAAAAAATAATTTTTTAAAGTGCAAGTGCTAGGAATAATTTTTTATATATGTCAACCAATAAAACTCTTAGCTCTGTTTCATCTTTGGAACTTAGTGCCTGAGCCATCTTGCTCCCCATAAGTCAAGTAATGCATTTCTCTGAAAAACCTATAAATCTGAGCCTACCAATTAATGAAATAATAAGAAAAAGCATTTTGATCAATTAAAAAAATTCTTAATTAACAGTACTATTACCAAAATATGAACAATGTAGTGTAGGAGAAGTTACATGGTCATAAATTATTGTCAAAAAGGTGAGTCACAGCACTTCCATTTGAAAAGCTGTAAAGGAACATTTCTCATTAAGGCCCTTAGGTGCCAAGGTATTGAGTTGTACAATCCAATATGTCTCTCTCTGCAATAAGAGTTTGCCTCTACCACCCCCCGAACGGAAATGGGGACATGTTTGATTGCCACACATCTTAAGGATGATAGTGGATGTTGGAACTCCAGGAAATGTCAGGCCACAGGTTTGTCCGGCTTGCCATCACGATAGGCAAGCCGGATACTAGATCTGTGACCTCTAATTCTCTCACAGAGTGCTGTCTCTGTTTTGCCTATATAGTTGAGGCCACATGGGCACGTCAACTTATAAATAACATGGTCCGTCCTACAATGGATTTGATGTATCTTATAGACTTTGCCTGTGTATGGGTGACTAAAGGTTTTAGAAGGGATGATGTGCACGCATGTGACACATCCCAAACACCTTATGCACCCAGTATTCCTATTTTCTCTCATTGTAGTATTATAACAGTGTTGTGGATCGGTTTTGACCAAAAGATCACGCAGGTTCTTATTACGTCGATTGCAAAACAGTGGTTTTTGGCGAAGGTCTTCTGAGAGAGTAGGATCTACTTTCAGTATGTTCCAATTGCGTCAAATGGAAGATGTCAATTCCGAAGTTGCAGTATTAAAATGCATGGGAAAAATAGGCCTAGTATTGGCCACTTTCACAGTTTGGGTTGGTGTTGCAGAAAAAGACGTTCTGGCTTTGGATACTGCTTCATCCAGGATAGTACTCGGATATCCTCTTGCTTGAAATTTCTTGTACATATCTTTCAATTGTTGATCGCTTTGGTGACTTTGGGAATTATTGCGTAGTCGGATGAGCACTCATATCGTAGTATGGTATTGAGGTCGGTGGATTTAGTAAAAAGTTTGTGCTCATAATTTCCACATCCAAAAACTGGACACTATTTTCATCAATGTTAGCAGTCAATCTTTAGGTCATTAAGGTTTTGTACAAATTGTACTGCTTCTTCTTTGGAACCATGCCATAAAATCAGGATATCGTTGATAAACCTAAAATATTTAAGGATCAGGTGATCATATTGTTGAAAGATGTTTCATCTTGTATTCATACATATAAGCATTTGCATACATGGGGGCCATCGCTGCCCCCATGGATGTTCCTGCTATCTGTAAATACCATTGTGATTTGAAGTGAAAGTAGTTGTCTTGTAGAGCAATGTTTAGTAGTTCCAGAACAAACTCAACGGAAGGCCCATGATAACTTTGTGAGTGGGTGAGGAGATTCCGCATGGCCTGTACCCCATCCTCATGTGGGATAACCGTGTACAGACTCCCCATATCCATTGTGATGAGGACACCGTCGAATTCTCCAAATTGTCTGAGTTGTTGTAACAAATCAGGGGTGTCCTTAATGCAGGTGCTCAAAGATGTGACAGGGTCTTTGAAAACGTAATCAAGATACTTGGCTATGGGTTCCAGTAGACCTTGGACTGCTGAGACAATTGGACGGCCGGGAAGGGTTTCAGATTTTTATGTATTTTAGGTAGTGTATACATTACCGGAGTGCGAGGATGCTTCTTTTGCAGGTACTGGAACAACTCCAGATCGATGTGTCTCTCTTGGAGACCAAACTGTAGTGTCTCACTAATTCTATTAGAAATCAGATTTGTAGGATCACCATCCAATCGCTTATAAGTATTGGAATCCATTAGTTTGTCGTTTAATTTCTTCAGCATACTCAGGATAGTTTAGAATTACTATCCCACTTCCTTTGTTCGCCGGTCGAATCACAATTGTCGGATCTGCAGACAGATTTTTTATTAGCTCATGTTCTTTTCTTGAGAGATTGAAATGTGTTGGTCGATGTTTCCTCAATAAATCATCAGTGTCATTTTTAACCATTGACAAAAATGATATGATTTGACACTTGGGTAGAGGGGGGATCAAATGAACTGGGGGTTTTAAATTTGTAAGTTATTTTAGTCATAGGTAAAGATGTCTGGAGAGATTCTGATTTCATAAAGAAATCCTTTAATCTGACAGTACGGCCAAATTTAAATAACTCCACCTCCCATTGAAAGGGATTGGGGGGAGTAGTAGGTTTGAATTAGAGGCCTTTTCTCAGGATATTTACTTCCACAGGTGATAATTCCCTTGTGGACAAATTGAAAATTAGGATCACTTGCGTATTGGCGGTTTACCTTTGGGACCAATGGAGTCATCCCTTACATCCGCGTCTTGTGTTTGTCCTTTTACGTGTTTGAGTCTGCTCCGTGTTATTGTTGTCGGTTGTCTCTCCATGCTTGATTCCCCGTCTTTGTCTAAAAAATGTACAGTAGGTCTTGTTTGACTACCCTCTCCCTCTGATGCGGATTCACCTGATGTTATGTCAATAGTGGAGATGTTAGGTTTCACTATCTTCTTACGGAATCTCCTAGGTTTCCCTTTATGTTCACCTGACAACCATCGGTATACTGAAAACTCTTGGTAGTCTAATTGTACCCTCTCCATTTTCTGCCGCTTGAACTTAATCAGCTGGTTCTTGTATTTGAGGATTTCCTCACGAAGTTTTAATACTGTTTTGTTTCCCTCCTGTGTGGTTGTAGCGCATATTCTATTTCCACGGATTGTATTTTCTTCCAAATTTCCACTAGGTTCTTAACATCCTGTATCATCATCAGCATAAGGTCTAGGGAGCATTTGTGTAATACTGCCGTCCAGGGGTGGACTGAGAGCCTTTGGGGCCCCCGGGAAAAATTAGATCCCAGGCCCTTTGAAGGCCAAATATTATGCGCATTAAATAAATGTTAAATATAACTCTCGTATAATAAGGCATTCCGTTGGATGTGTATATTCTAAAGACCTGTGTATCAATGCATGTTTGTATTTGAGTCTGTGTGAATGCATTTGTGACAGAGTGCGTGAGGGAGAGGGTAACAGGTGGCAGAGTGTGGGAGGTGGTGACAGAGGGAGGGAGGGGGTGAGTGGTGGCAGAGTGAGGAGTAGACACAGTGGGGGATGACTAGTGACAGAGTAAGGGAGGGAAGGGGTGACTAGTGACATAGTGAGGGAGGGGGTGACTAGTGACAGAGTGAGGGAGGGGGTGACTAGTGACAGAGGGAGGAAAGGGGTTACTAGTGACAGAGGGAGGGAGGAAAGGGGTGACTAGTGACAGAGTGGGTAACTAGTGACAGAGTGAGGGAGGTGGTTACTAGTGACAGAGGGAGGGAGGGAGTGAAGAGGGAGGTGGTGACTAGTGACAGAGGGAGGGAGGGGGTGAAGAGGGAGGGAGGGGGTGACTAGTGACAGAGTAAGAGAGGAAGGGGTGACTGGTGACAGAGGGAGGGGGTGACTAGTGACAGAGTGAGGGAGGTGGTGAGTAGTGACAGAGTGACTCTGTCACTAGTCACCTCATCCCTCCCTCTGTCACTAGTCACTCCCTCCCTCACTCTGTCACTAATCACTCCCTCCATCACTCTGTCACTAGTCACCCCCTTTGTCCCTAGTCATCCCTTCCCTCCCTCTGTCACTAGTCACCCCCTCCCTTACTCTGTCACTAGTCACCCCCTCCCTCTGTCACTTGTCACCCCCTCCCTTACTCTGTCACTAGTCACCCCCTCCCTCACTCTGTCACTAGTTACTCCCTCCCTAACTTTGTCACCCCCTCCCTCGTAACCCTCTCCCTCCCTGTCACTAGTCACCCCCTTCCTCACTCTCACTAGTCACTCCCTCCCTAACTCTGTCACTAGTCACCCCTCCCTAACTCTGTCACTAGTCACCCCCTCTGTCCCTAGTCAACCCTTCCCTCCCTTACTCTGTCACTAGTCACCCCTTCCCTCACTCTGTCACTAGAGTGAGGGTGTGACTAGTAACAGAGAGAGGGAGGGAAGGGTTGACTAGTGACAGAGTGGGTGACTAGTGATAGAGGGAGGGGGTGACTAGTGACAGAGTAAGGGCGGGAAGGGGTGACTAGTGACACAGTGAGGGAGGGGGTGACTAGTGACAGAGTAAGGGAGGGGGTGACTGTCACTAGTCACCCCCTCCTTCCCTCTGTCACTAGTCACCCCCTCTCTCTGTCACTGTGTCACCCCATCCCTCACTCTGTCACTAATTGTGATGTATGGGTGGTTGGGCTGTGTATGAGTGTGTGAGTGTATGAGTGTATGTATTGTGATGTATGGGCAGTTGAACTGTTGTTGGCTGTGAATGATGCACTTCCTTTCTTGTGGTTCTTTACTTCCTGTTGGCAGTTGGTGGAATGTTCGAAGGATTTGAAATGGCGGCTGCAGAAACCCTGTGTAACAAGGCTGCAATATGAAGAAGCTGTTATATATGTATTAATAAAGTGACTACTTCGTTATACAGGAATTATTGGCTGATTTGTACAAAACATCACAGTGGCGACGAGGCTGTAGAACCCTAACTGACATGGCAGCCATTGGCACTATAAAGGACTTTGATCCTGACTCGCATTTATGGGCCTCTTGGGTTGAAAGGCTTGAACAATATTTTACAGCTAATGATATTCCTGACAATAAACAGGTCGCTGTTTTCCTAACAGTTATAGGAGCCAAAACGTATGATACGCTAAGGAGCCTTTTACACCCAGAGAAACCTGCCAGCAAGCCAATGGCAGTTTTGATTACTCTGTTAATTGACCATTTCCAACCAAAACCACTAGAGATAGCAGAGAGATTTAAATTCTATAAAAGAAGACAAGAGCCTGGTGAATCAGTTTCATCATATGCCATTGTGTTACGGAAACTCGCCAGCACCTGTTGTTTTGGGGACTACCTGCCCACTGCTCTGCGAGACCAGTTTGTAATGGGCATTGCAAGTGATACAGTGCTAAGGAGACTCCTTACAGAAGAAGATTTAACATTTAAAAAGGCAATGAACATGGCAAGCATTATAGAACAAGCCTCTAAGGATGCTAATATATTACACAGCAGACTGGACAACACACAGGAGGCAGAGCTAGAAGTTTTAAAATTAGATGCTAGAGCACAGAGTGTAGCACAGGGAAAGAGACTTTCAAAACAGGAACATTCACATTACAAATGTTATCGCTGCGGAGCCGCTACACATGTTGAAACTATATGCAGATTCAAGGATGCCAAGTGTCATGCTTGTGGTAAAATCGGTCACCTACAAAGAGTGTGTAAATCCACAGCAGAGAGAGGCAGTAATCACTTGAGAGACAGAGCAAAGAATGCCTATAGAGTACAAATGCAGGAGTATTCTGAGGATTCGGATGAACAATTTCCTGTCTGAAATTTAAAAATATATAAAATAGGTTCTAATCTGGCTGCATTCACAGTTCAGGTTGTTGTAAATGGAAAGAAACTGACTGGATTTGGACACAGGTTCAGCTGTATCAGTGATTTCTTTGACAGCCTGGAAACGCCTTAAAATACAAAGGCCAATAATTCAGACAACAGCGAGACTGCAGACATATTCTAAAGAGCTGTTAATACAAGTGGGTTGTGTGACAGTCACAGTTACATTCAACAAATGTAAGAAGAAACTTCCTCTCTATATCTTAGAGAAAGGAGGACCTCCACTTTTTGGTAGAGAGTGGATAAGGGCTCTCGGGATGCCTCAAGTGCATAAGTATCCATGTCATGTGTTGAATGAAAATCAGACCAGACTTGACTGGATTAGGGAATTACAGGAAAATGTATGCACCAGTGTTTGATGGCCAATTAGGGAATGTAAAGGGACAACAAGTTTCCTTAGAATTAAAGGAAGGAGCAACACCAAAAATTTTTAAAGCAAGAAGTATGCCTTTTGCTCTATGGGCTGGAGTGGAGGCAGAATTAAGGAGATTAGAGGAGCTGAATATCATCTCCCGGGTTCACAATAGTGAGTGGGCTTCGCCCATTGTTCCTGTGAGGAGATACGGATTTGTGGGGATTTCCTCATGGCTCTTAACACACAGCTTAAAAAAAGATAAGTATCCCCTTCCTAGGGTAGATGATATTTTTGCATCATTGACAGGTGGCCAGCAATTCACCAAAATTGACTTGAAAAATGCATACCTACAGTTATCTGTACATCCAGATTCTCAACTACTACTTACGATTAATACCCATCGGGGGGGCTATTCAGGTGTAACCGTATGGTTTTTGGCATTTCACCTGCACCAGCTGTCTGGCAGCGAACAATGGACAAGCTGTTAGCTGGAATTCCTGGTGTAACCATGGCTGGTTCCCTTATTTACCACTATAACGTCTTAAAGCATAGAACTTACTAGGGCTAACCATACAGATATCTTAGCCATAATTTCATATAGTTAGTGTAAGAGATCCTCTATTTAACATATATAAATAATTGAGAATAAAATATAAAATAAGGATTGTCTTGGAAGCAATAAAGTTTTGATTTTTTAGATATTTATTATATAAAAATATAAATATAGACATATAAAATCCATATAGCAGTGTTTCTAAGATTAAACTAAATGCTTGCAAATATCATTAATAGGTTAACATACCCTTCTGAACATGTCATCATGTCAGCCTCTCTGTCATTTTAAGATGGAGCAGCGTCTGTCTCCTCTGTGTCCTCTGTGTCTCTCCTCTGTGTCTTAAAGGACCACTATAGTGCCAGGAAAACATACTCGTTTTCCTGGCACTATAGTGCCCTGAGAGTGCCCCCACCCTTAGGGACCCCCTCCCGCCCAGCTCTGGATGGGGGAAAGGGGTTTAAACTTACCTTTTTCCAGCGCTGGGCGGGGAGCTCTCCTCCGACGATCCTCCTTCTCTCCTCCCCGCAAAAGCTGCGCGCGCATTCAGCCGGTCGCATAGGAAAGCATTTACAATGCTTTCCTATGGACCCTGGCGTGCTCTCACTGTGAAAATCACAGTGAGAAGCACGCAAGCGCCTCTAGTGGCTGTCAATGAGACAGCCACTAGAGGCTTTGGGGGAAGGCTTAACCCATTAATAAACATAGCAGTTTCTCTGAAACTGCTATGTTTATTAAAAAATAGGTTAACCCTAGCTGGACCTGGCACCCAGACCACTTCATTAAGCTGAAGTGGTCTGGGTGCCTAGAGTGGTCCTTTAACATTTAAAAGTACACCTATTTATACCTTAGGTGTCTCCATTTTAGGGTTACCGTAGTTCATATATGAAAAAGTAACTTTTTTACTTTTTTCATTTTGGGACCTCCCTTAATTTGGCAAACATACAAGGACATAACTAAAGGGTGCATACGTCATGGAAATTTTCCTGACTTGGTTCAAGATGGCATCTTAAAGTCTGGACATCCTTATCTACTTAAGGTTACCACAGTATATTGTGTACTGAAAGAGTTATAGCATAGCCTTGAAGCTTGTTTATGCATTATTGTTATTGTAATTCGTCTGGGACAAAATGGCGCAAACATATTATGCACTGAGGTTATTGCTTAAAGAAACAGTTATGAAAAACAATATGTTCCATTTCTAACACCTTGTCAGTTTGCAATATCTCTTAAAGACAAAGTACACAGTTTAAGAAATACAACA